GGTTTAGGGTTTAGGGCTTAGCTGTTGGGGCTTGGGAGTTAGGGCTTTAGGGCACTAGGGCACGTAGTAATTACGTAGGGGTTTGGGGTTTAGGGTGTTCTTTCCCCTGAGGTCTTGTAGTTGTTGTCAGCATCCCTAAGTAAAGGGCGGTCGCATGTAGGATTATGAGGTCAGGGCTGAAGGTTTCGGTTTAGGGTTTAGGGGGAAGGGTTTCTGGGTTTAGGGTTTAGGGTTTCGTAGATCTGGGCACCAAGCCGCATTTGGACGGTCTCAGGAAGGCAGGAGGGGATTTGGGGGCATAGGGCCTAAAGTACAGGCACAGTCATCCATGCTGTTAACTTAAACCAACAAGGCCCCAACTAGCCCTTAGCTTTTCCACTGCTGAACCCCCAAAGCCCCAGAGCCCCAAAATCGAGCCCTTGCGGGTTAATCCCCGACTATTTGTGTGCAGGCTGCTTAGAGGCAACTCAGGTCCCGCATCTACTCTTTTTAACCTTTCAAGAAAATCCCAAAAGCCCTAAGTTGGTTCGGTCGAGCACTTCGCCACGAAAGCTAAAAACACCCGTAGCCCTTTTCCACCCATCGTCCTCTGAACCTGGCCCCCCAGGAGGCTGCAGACAGATCCGGCAAAGGCGATGCCGACGGGAACTTGGAGGTGACGCACAGGGGGAATCGTTGCTTCCGATGGGGGCCTTCAGAAAACAGTGGTAATCTAGAAGCTTGAAAAACTAATAGTACTTGTCCTTAAAGCGTTTCTTATTGCTACGTGTCGTAAAATATACCCAAAACTACATTATGACGGGCCCTATGTTATCTTGTTGGCCCGTAACAACAGCATCGTTCTATTTAGGGTTGTATTTTCGGGTCTGAGACTCTGAGATTCTTTCCGGAGAGTCCAAGGCAGTTTAACTAAGGAACAGCTCGTGTCTAGGATCCCTCTATAGTGACAGAAATATTCCCTGGTTCGCTGATGTTAGAATCTCTGGTTTTTATGCTCAAAGCCCTGAGTACATAAAACCTTTGAGGTCTAGTTGGTGATGGTGTTCGCTTGTGCAGCAGAGTGGACTTGATTTTAGGGAGACGTTCGAAATGTAGAGCTAAGGACATTGCAAGAGTTCGAAGTTTCTTACTTTCAGGACCCACCCGATGATCAGTTGAAGCGGTTCGGATCCAGAGCTGTTTCCAAGCTGCAGTTCTGCCGGATAACGGAATGCTCTCTCCGCTTTGCTGTGCTTCTGCGTCATCATGTGACAACTTGGCTAGGAGTATCTTCACACGCATCTGCTCAACGAGAATATCAGCATGTCGCAAAGGCTGGTAAAGCATCGTACATGAAGTCAAGAGACAGGTTGTCCTGACATTCGATGGATAGGTATTCCTCACTGCAACAGAATCTCTCGACCCGATGGTACCGAGAGTTTGGCATATACTTTTGTGGTGGCAGCGACAGAGACAGCAGAGTCGTCGGCCTATTCGTTGTTGCCTTCTTCGTCGTCGTAGTAGCAGTTATAGCCTAAACAAACAGCGAAACAGGGTTTTTTATCATGACAACGCGGCGGCGACTTTTTGCGTGATTAGGAGGGAGCGCTGTTGCCAACCGCCGCTTCGTACACATTTCAGGGCCTTTATTCATGTCCGGATCCCCGACACATCTTCCATGCACCTTCCATGATGGGAGGGGTATTTCTGTAAAAGGGGTTTGCACTGTCCCAAAAACCCTCAGACCAATATGGGGGCCTTAATCATTACCCACATTATTCCTTCGGGGTCCTTATTATACCTATAGCAGAATGGGCCCCACAGCCCTATTCTAATCATTCAGCACCCTAAACCCTGAAGACCCTGAACCCTAAATATCCCCCTAAACCCTAAACTCCCTGAACCCTAAATCTCCTAAATATCCTAAATACCCTAAATACCCTAAATACCCTAAACCCTAACTTCCAAAGCCCTGCAGGCACCAGGGCAGAGAGGCCTGGTGGGAGGCGCGGCAGGGTCCTGTGCGGCCTTGAAGGGCCTCTTAGTAGTAGAGGAGGTAAGCTTTATAGGGTTTAGGGTTTAGGGTATAGGGTTTAGGGTTTAGGGTATAGGGTTTAGGGTTTAGGGTTTAGGGTATAATATAGGGCCCTAAACCCTAAACCCTGCCTTGTGGTTGGGGCAGTCAGCTTAAACGTGTTGGCAGCTCCAGAAAGCTAAGAAGCCCGAATATCCCTAAACCCGAAGCCCTCCCCGACTGAAGCACATAAAGAAAAACCCTGAATAGTGGGAATACTTGCCAGAAGGACTCCCAGACCTAAAATGTGAGAACTCTGCCTCGCAAGCTGCAGATGTTCTAAATCTTGCGCCCGAACTCTTACACCCTAAACCCTATACCCTAAACCCTAAACCCTGAACCCTAAACTCTAAACCCCGAACCCTAAACCCTAAACCCTAAACCCAATTCCCTCAGACCGGGAAGCCTCTCTAACTGCAAAGACTCGGACCCACGCGAAGCCCCCGAATCACCAACTCCGGGCATCCCCATGCTCAAAACCCCCCAATTCCGAAACCTCTACAGCTCTAAGCGGTTTGGGGTTTAGGGTTTTAGGGTTTTAGGGTTTAGGGTTTAGGGTAAGCTTGAAGCCTCTAAACCTCTGAACCCCCTGAAGCCCTGAGAACCAAGCCCGAAGAAAAAGCCGCAAAACCCCAACAGATGCTTCTAAAGCTGCAAACTCTGTCCGAACGATACCGAAAGCCAGGTAAAGGCAAGGCTGGAGGCTGGCCAGGGTTAATGGTATGGGCGTTGAGGGCTTTGGGGTTGAAGGGTTAGTAGTTGCAAAGATTCGGCTGAGGGCGCTTGTTGCATCGGGCTCTGTTGGTACAACGTCCACGGCTTCCTTGAGGGCCCGATAAGCCTTAAATGAAGAATAGTCCTCAAGCTAGAGGGAGAGAATACCATCAGTTGACATAGGGTATATAGCTGATTAAGGGGTTCGGGACCTGTCTGGTGAGGCTGGGATTGATATTTTTATGGTTTGGAGTTCAGGGTAGTCCTAGATGGTATTAGGGAGACCCCTTAAAAGGAACCCTTCTCAACCCTACTTATGGCTCCCTGAAAAGGGACCTTATTCAGAGGGTCCCCCCTAATCGTAACTCCTAGGCAAGGTTTTGTCATGTCTATTCCCGGATCTCGAGGTGGGACCCTAAACCCGAAACCCCCAAAACCCTAAAACCC